CCCATTCCCTAGGTTGTCTTCTGTTTTATCTTATAATGTGGGAATAATAGTTTTGGTTCCACAAAGGGTCCCGGGTTGGGAGCTAGGGGTCCGCTTTCACAAAGGCACTCACTTAGGGCAGTGGCAGTGAGACCACCCACGCCGTGGGGTACAGGTCGGTGGGGGTTATTATGGGGTAAAGGCGAGGAGAGTTGTGTCAATGCCATTTTGTAGAGTTTGGACTCATGTTGGCCTTCTTCTCATAATCGTTTTAGTAACTGGTGTTTTGCCTCAAACACGTACTGAGATCCCTCTGATAAACTGCTGTTTTGGCCTATTTAGGACCCAACCGACTTCGAGTGGAACTTCTGGATGGAATGGGGGAAACAGCGGCTGGCGTGGCTTCTCCTTGGCCACGTGGGTGTGTCTCAAGTGGCCAACCTGCTCAGCAGGAAGGTATGATTATATGTGCTGTTTCCTTTTAAGCCTTTCTCCTTTGCATTTTGGGAAGAAAGAGTCCTGAGCTAGGAAATCAGGAGACATGGATATTAGCCTTGGAAGCCTGGAAAAGATAAGAAAGAATTGTTAATGATCAACAGGATAAAAATAAATTATACCCTAAAAAAATACAAAGATAAAAATTAAAGATACATTGTTAATGATGAAAGAGATGGATTTCATACATGCTTATCCTATGATTGCTTCCTCCAAGTCACCTTTCAAACCAATGGATATGAAGGTTTTAGAGTAGAGCTAACTTCAGATGGTCTTCATTAAGCTCATTCTTCATCAAATGATCTTATACAAACTGCCTGTTGTTGAAAATCTATGTGATTTTACTTACAAGTTCAGAAGAAAGTAAAGTGAATGATTTTATTAAGAAGTGGGGATGATTTTAATGTCAAGTAATTTATGCTACAGCAGCTGTTGCAGGTCTGGATTCTCATAGTGTTTTGCTCTTGCCTTGGCCTGGCTTAGAGAACAAGAGATTCTTCCAAGTGGATGCTTTTTGAAAAGTGCTTTCTCAAGAGGCAGAACTGAGAGGCTCTTTATACTGGAGTTAACAGGGGGCTGGAGATACTGCCAAGAGGACCTTTCCCTGGCACAGGGGCTTTGGCCGATGTCGCCTCATGTATGCTTCTTGCCTCTGTAGTTTCCTAATCTGAAAAAAATGAGTCTGTGCTTGGAAAATCTACCCAGTAAAAACAAAGCACAGCCAAAAACTGACTTGGAAGTCAACTCAGGAGAGACATCTGATTCTTAGAGGTTCACGGAGGTGAAGAAACTGAAGGGACAGAAGAAGTGGGAGCCTCTGGGCTGGAGGGACCAGGGCGTGAGGCTGAGAAAACAGGGTGCCACGTGCTTAGAGATGTGCACCGGACCTGGGCTGTTGTTTAGGTTTTTCCTAAAAATTGGTACCTTCTGGGCTTGCTTCTCATCCTGGAATCTAGGAAATCCCAAGAGCACACTAACTGTTTTAACTATGATGTTGATTACCGTTTTGTCCTCAAGGGGTTTCCATCTTCTTAAGTGGCAAAAACTAAAACCTTAGATTCAGCCAGATCTGAATATATTAAAAAATTCCATGTAACTTCCTTTTTTTCAGTTTCACTGGGATATAATTGATACGTGGCACTGTGTAAGGAAGGTATCCCACATGATGACTTAACTTACATGTATTGTGAAATGATTACCACGGGGAGTTTAGTTAACATCCAGCATCTCAGAGAGAGAGAAGGGAAAAAAAAGGGAAAAGAATTTGTTCTCCTTGTGATGAGAACTTTTAGGATCTACTCTCTTAGCAACTTCCAAGTATACCACACAGCAGTCTTAACTGTAGTCCTCATTTTGTCCATGACATCCCTAGTGCTTATTTCTCGTATAACTGGAAGTTTGTACCTTTTGACTATCTTCATCCAATTTTGTAATGCCTTCTGAGCAAAGCTGATAATAAAAATAATACCTTTTTTTGTATTCCTAAATTAGAAGCGAATAGGTCAACCTCAGCCTTCATTAATAAATTTTTCTTCCAGAGATTTGTTTGGTGTTTCGTTAAGACATCAAAATTTCTAGAAATTTAACATTTTATTTCTAACACACATTTTATTTCTCTGCCCATGGGTAAGTGACTTACTACCACTAGATCTCAGGTTTCCCGCCGGTAAGATCAATAGCTTCATACCTGTGTTTTCTTCCTCTGTGAGGGGAAGATGGACTGTTTTGAGGAGGATCCGTGAAATGCAGCCACTCTCTCTGCTGCTGCTGCTGTGGGGAGGGGCCGGCTGCAGTGCAGTGGAAGAAAGTAGAGGGTGTACTAAGTCCTGGGCGTTCTCACTCATTGGCTTTCTGACCTTAGGAAGGCTTTTCAGCACTGATCTTAATTCATCATTTTCTGTAAAGTAGGGTTGATGAGACAGTGTTAGTCTCCCCCTCCCCTTAAAAAGTGGGCTTCATTTGTTAGAAATTTCATTAAAAAGCAAGGATGAAACATGGAAAAGGTAGAACAAAGAGAAAGCACCGAAGAAATGGAAGAAATAAATGCAAACATACCAGTAATCATCAGTGTGAATGGACTCCGCCCACCTCCCAACCCCAGAAAAGGGTTGTCAGACTGCATAGAAGAAAAACAGAAATAAAGGAAAATGAAGAAAGAAATAAAGCAGGGTCCAGAGGAGTGTTCTTAGCAAGATATACTTAGAACAGAAGGGCACAGAGTTTGAAACGAAAAGATGGAAAAAGGTGTTCCAAGCAAATAGAAGGCTCATCTTTGCCCCATCCACCCGGATACTGGTGTGCTTTCATTAACAGCTGGCAAAGAGCATTGTTAGTGACGAAGAGGGTTCCTGTTTAATGATAAAGAGTTCGTTTCATTAGGGAGATATTATAATTCTAAGTTTCTTTGCTTCAAAATATAGACAGCAAAAGCTGATCAGTACCATAAAAATAAATATTTTTCTATGATTGTAGGGAGAGATTTTAACATAATTTCATCACTAATTGATATATTAGAAAAAATAATAAAATATACAGTTAATAAACTTGATATAAGAAACATGTAAATTATTGCATCTAACAACTGGAGAATTCACATTCTTTTAAAGAACACTTTGAATCTTTATAAAAATTAATGACATACTTGACTATTAGGTAATTTTCAGTGAATTTCAAAGGCTGTGTTTTATGTAGGTTACCTTCTCTGATCCCAGTGTAGTTAAGTTGGAAACCAGTAGCAGCAAGATGACCTGAAAATTCTAATTCATTTAGAAATTAAAAAAGAAAATAAACTTTTAAATAAATAATAGCTCAAAAAAGAGGTCATACTGGACGTTAGGAAATAATTAGAAATGAATGAAAATGTATTACATATCAAAACTCATAGGGTGCTACTTGGATAACTTCAAGTTTATGTAAGTGCATAACTTTATGTGCTCATATTAAAACAGAAGAAAGCTGAAAATTAATGAGCTGAGCACACAATGTAAGATGTTAGGAAAGAAGAGCAGGAAAAAGGAAAAGGAAAGAAATAATAAAAATAAGAGTAGACATTAATGAAATAATCAGTGGCATGATTGGTCAAGGAAAAGAAAAAATGCACAAATAACCAATATTATGTTTGGAAAAGCAGATGAAAAATATATTAAGATATTTTGCACAACTTTATGCCAATAATTTTGAAGACTTTGGCAAAGCCAGACATATTTCTAGAAAATATAACTTAACCAAAACTAACTCATGAAGAAATAGAAAGACTTGCTATTTATAGTACTATAACCATCAAAAGAAGTTAAATCAATGTTTAAAAATCTATTTGTAAAGAACACAGTAGTCTAATACACCACTTCTGCCGGACATCCAAGGCATAAATTATTTAAATCTTTTCCAGTCTTTTTCAGGAAAGGGAAAATGAGGGAACCTTCGTTATATGAAAAAGATAGAATAAAATTGATACCCAAATCAGAGCGTGTGCCCTACCAGATGCTATAACTCATAAAGACATAATAATTAGGACACCAAGGTGGACAAATAGACCAATGCAACAGAGTAGAGTTGAGAAAATACATGTACAGAGACGAAAACTTGATTTATGACAACTGGCACTTCAGATCTGTGTGGAAAAGATAAACTATTCAATAAATAATGCTGACACTGTTTAGTCATGTTAAAAAGAAATGAATTGCTTACTTATCTCATACCATATATAATCATTTTCAAGGTGAATTAAGGACTTAAAATGAAAAACAAAGCATAAAACTTTTAGAAAGCATGATGTAGAGAAGAATACCTATTAATGGTAAAGTAGAGAAAGATTTCTTAAATAACACAGAAAAAGTATAAATTGTAGAGGAAAAAACTGGTAAGTTTACATTAAAACTAAGCACTTATCAATGTATAATAGTGCACCATAATCAATGTCCATCTTTGGATCTATCCAGAGACACAATGAAGAAAGTGAAAAGACAAGTCACTTGGGACGTTATTTGCAACCAGTAGAGGATTAGTATTTGGAATATATGAAGAAATTTTAAAAAGAAAAAACAAACCACCCAGTAGAAAAGGGGCTCAAATGGGAAAAAGGAATTTGCATAAGAGGAAACACAAATGACCGATGAACTTATGGAACCGTGTTCAACTCCATTAGTAGTCAAGCAGATCTATCTTAAAACTACAAGACATCATTTCACACTTTCCAGTTCGGCAAAGACCAAACAAAACTAAAATCTCATGACGATATCAAGTACTGGCCACCTGAACTCATTCAGAGAGGCTGTAAATCTGTATCGGTCCGGCTTCCCTGTAGTGCATTAGCTAGTAAAGTCAAAAAAGTGCGTAGCCCCCAGCCGGCAGTGCTAACTCTGCCGTGTTCCCTGGAGAAGCTCTTCTCTACCAAGGGGACAGACAGGAGCCAGGACATTTGTTGCAGTGACATCTGTAATAACAAAGAGCCAGAAGCAACCCAGATATCCATTGTGGGGGAATGGATGAATGGTAGTGAATTTCTTCCATGGAAAGGAATGAATTATAACTAATTGTCAATGTGGAATGAATTTCTAGATCACGACATTGAGCTAATGAGGCAAGCTGCAGAGGCAGCAGATGTGATCCTGTGTATACAAAGCTGTGCAGACTAAATGATACATTCGTGTGTGATCACAAAGATGAGGTAGACATTAAAATAAATTCAAGATAGTGGTTTACATGTGATTGAGGAGGGAAGCTGATAGAATCATGGGGGAGATATCCAGGGCCCTCTTTTGTTTGTTGGTTTTTGCTTTGACAATTTGTTTACTTATTTTTTAAATTGAGGTATAATTGATATATTTTTAATTGATCTATATCTAACATATGCCCAAGGCTTTTTAAAGTACTGATAACTTTGTCTTTCTGAAGCTGGTGGTGGGTATGCAGGTGTTGTTATTTCATTATTCTTTATACCTTATACACTGTATTTATAAATA